ACTAAAAAGTACCCAAAAGACTAGGCTAATTTCAGTTTAACTAAACTGAACTTGTGCAACTTGATGGCACTAACGTACTGCTATTTCCACCAAAGCTGCTTTATGCAACTTTCATCAAAGATTTCATCGATGTCCTATTCAACTTACTGTCTCTACCACTCGGAACAGTAGTCAGGCTTCTCTCCAAACAGGGTATGATGGGCTCCGTTGGAAACCTCTATGAAAGCATTGAGAATTTGAATGATACTTATATGCAGGCGCCAGAGGCTAAGGATGCCCTTTTGAAGCCGCACGTTTTTGCACCAGCAGTTCCTCTCCTGTTGCCAGGCACTCAGACATCAATTCCTACAAGTTACTACATGTGTTCATCATACTGTTGGAATAATGTGGCAAAAGAACCAACTGCTAATTCTCCTCAATGCGGCCACTTAATGAACGCAAAGGTGACCTCTATTGGTTCACCAGACGCAGATAACCAATCATCATTTGCGATCACCTTGTATAAGTGTAATAGAAACTCTCCGTACATGACAGATGTGGCCTTGATTATATGTCCTAAATGCAATACCAAATTGAGACGCCTGCAGGTACTTCCTGTTAAGCCACCAAATAAGCAATCCCCCTCTTGGAGGGCGGTGGGTTTTGTGAAAGGGGTGGTCACTTACATTGTAATGGACAATCTTGAGGTGAAGCCTATGTCTACCATTTCTAGTATTTCCATACTAAACGAATTCAATATCAAGGAAGTTAGTTCCCTTGAAGAGCGTGTTGTCGATGTGGGAATGGATCAGGCATTCAACTATTTGCTAGCTTGTGGCAACCCCTTTCATCATATTTAGTGCCAGTTCATTTGTGTGTTTTTTGGTTTTAGGGCTTGAAGTTGCTCAAGGCATCCCTGCAATCTAAGACTGCCCTTACTGATGAGTTTCTAGGGAAGTAGGGTTTCAATCAAGTGATTATGATGCTACTGCACTGGAAAAAATTGGAAAGAGGAAGGGAGGATTTTTACTTTGACTTATTATCAGTTGAGGTGTCCAACTTTGTTTCATTTCGTCTTTGTTTAATTCAGTTATAAATAAATTTTAAATATATTCATTTTAATTAATTTTATTTTTTAAATTTATTAAAATGCCTAATATATTGTT